ATGCAAGGAACCGCGTTGGTGCTGCTGCTGCGCTGCACACTCGAAACCTCCCTCGCCAAAGCAGCACCCGCTGCCGCTGCTGCTGCTGCTGCTGCAGTTTAGAGAGGACGGATGGCTTAGGAGGAAAGCCGGCACATCAATCCCCCGCCTCGTCTTGATGTGATGCGCAAGCGCTGAACAGCTGGACCCCGGCAGGAGCAGCAGCAGCAACAGCAGCAACAGCAGCGAATGCTGCAGCGGAACCTGGTGCTGCTTCTCGTGGGTGACCGGCGGCAGCTGCATAACGGCGTCAAGCAGGCTTCAAGGGGCCTGCAAGGCCTTTCTGTCTCCCATGGCTGCTACAAGTCGCGCTGCTGGTGCTGCAATGACTACTCCTGCTCCGGCAGCCTGTGAGTCGCAGCAGCCGGCAGTTGTCTGCTGTTGCTGCAGCTTCTGCCTTTGCTGCCTGTGCTGCAGCAGCAGCAGCAGATGCTGCCGCTGCTCTTCCTGAATCTGGAGGGGCAGCTGCTACTGTCTCGTGCCGGATTAGAAGCTGGGGGGTCGGCCTCCTCCCTGGGGATCATCGACTCCGGGTTGGTGTTCTGTCTTTTTGCCTTTTGTTGGTCTGTACACTTAAAAACTTATTAAAGGCCTTTTCGAGTTAGAACCCACATACTTTTCGCGCCTCGCCGCTGCTGCTACCGCTATTCCCCGGTCCGCCCACGGCAGCCCCAAGCTGCTGCTCTCTGCATGCGGAAGCGCCGTAATTTCATTCAATTGTTTCCCGCTAAATCTGCAACAATAAGAAAACGGCATTTAAGCGGTATGGATTCCCTTGTGCTCCTGCTGGCTGCTCCTGCGTAATGCTGCCGCTGCTGCCGCTGCTGCTGCTCTGACGGTCTCTCCCGGTTTATTCCTCAAGACCTCCGGGCGCAACCAGCAGGAGTACATCAAAGAGCAGCAGCAGCAGCTGCTGCAGCAGCAGCAGCTGCTGCTGCTGCGACGCTCAAGAATAACCAGCAATACCGCCACAGTCAAGCTCCGCAGCTCCCATCAGCTTGCTGCCGTTGTTGCTGTTGCTGCTGTTGCTGCTGTTGCAGCAGACACCCTCATCAGTGCCCTCCGGACACCTGGAGCAGCAACACCAGCAGCAGAATGGTGGGTTCTACAGCGGTTGGCACCCCTCGGGGGTCGGTTGCCACGACTGGCGTCTCAACAGCGGCAGCAGGAGCTGCTGGATGCTCGCCTGGTGCCGCTCTAAACAACAGCAGCAACGGCTACAGCAACAGCAGCTGCTGCAATGGAGTGTCTGCATTTAAGTCTGTTTTGCCTCTAGAAGCCTCTATATCGGACATTGTGCACCGAATAGCACAGGAAGTGCTGCAGCCAATCCTCGTCCCGTCGCAGCAGCCCTCCCCCCCGTCGCCTTTCACATTCACACACCTGGATCAGCTGCAACAGATGTTGCAGCAGCGCTGCCCAAGCAGCAGCAGCAGCAATACAGGCACACCAAGCCGTCGCGCAGCGGGAGGCGTGGCGGCCGCTACTGCAGCTTGCCGTGGCAGCAACTCTGCAGCAGCAGCAGCAGTAGCGACAGGGACAGCAGCAGCAGCAGGAGGCTCACGTTCTGAGGTTAGTGGTGCTGCAGAGAATTTGTCTTTTCCATCCGCACAGCCGCCCAGGTGTATAGACAGCCGGTCGCTGCTGGCGCTGGTCCCCCATGACGGGCGGCTGTTGGGCCAGGAGGCGCTGGGGGGCCTGGCTATGGCGGTTGCTGCTGCTCTCAACACGGTGCAGCTGCTAACTCCAGAAGAGAGAATCAAATGCCGCATGCTGCCGCCTGATCGTTCCTATGAAACAAACTACAGGTGCGCAGACACCCGAAGTGTATTGACAGATTAAACAGGAATTCATCCATACACGCATCTACGCAGGTAGACATGAAAGACAGCTGATGCTGAGTGCTTTGTGTTGCAGCAGATGTCCTACACTCGCTGCAGCAGCAACAGCTGCTGCTGCAGCGAGCACATAGGCATGGGTGCCTGCATGTCTGCATGCATGCGTGGGCCTTTGCGTCTTTGTTTTGCATGCAGAGAGTGGCGGGACTTCCTGCTGCGGAAGCAGCCAACTGGAGCTTCTCTGAGTTG